ACCCTGGGCAACGTGTACTCATACGGCAAAAAAAGTCTATTAACCAGCAGTCGACTTCTCACATCAAACTACCATCACCCCACGGTATGTCATATTCGACCCCTACGACAGTACTCATCTTACATTTTCTCTGCCTTTGTATCTGTCTCTTTTACAACTGTAAATCACTCATCTGTTCCCCATCCCTCGACTTTCTGCTACTTTAATGTTCCTTCCCCATGTGAAGCCCGAAGTCAGCTAAAGGGCTAATGATAACTATCAAAACGCCTGCCATTTGAAATAAATACTTTTGTTGGTAATTCTGCCTAACAAAGTAGGATATGGAGAGACGTTCTGAAACGGGGATATTATGATTCCTCAAACTTCGAACATAACTATACTACTTTTTAATATGAAACCCAATGGCCTCTTTCAGCGCTTGTCCTATACATTGAAACTTTCAGCAGCAATGTTCTGGTATGGACATGATCCAGGTTAAATGGCTCAAATTCCTCATAATTATTAATGATTTTAATGATTAAACCCGTACAAAATTGCCAAAAATGCAAAAGCTAACAAGTACTTTCTGGTTCCAATCATTTAATTATTAAAAATATCGCCTTTTGGAGTTAACCGTGTTCTGATTATCATCGAGAAAACCTTTAATGTACCTCAACTACTTTATTCCATTTATTCTCCGTTAAACCTTAAGGATTGATTTATTATGCAAAATTTGGGCAAAGAACTAATGTTCTAGTTCTTCAAGGTAAGTTGGAGGTAGATGATTAGCTGCGGTTTATCACCTTTCCATGTTTCAAGAAAGCCTAGGAGTGTCAAACACGTTTGTCGTCACATGTAACGAGGTGTGTACTTAATCATTGTCTTGACTATAATCATGTTGGCAAATAAAAATAGAATGCCCACTTACGGTCAGCCATAGCGAGCTGAAGTTGGTTGTAGTGCAAGTTGTAGACAGCAGTTTCAGCAGCCCCTACTTTTGCCTCCTCCGCAGTATTGTAGTACCTGGGAGTGATGTAGTGCAGTCGGAGGCTGGAAATAATGACCTGCAACACACAATAGTGGTTAAAAGAGGCCTCCAAATATATTCAAACATTCAGATAAGCGAAATTCAGATTAGCACCTGTCCAATGAAAAGCTGGATCTTGCCACCAGTTGCATAATCCACAATATCCACTGGAAGGGCCATATACACAGGTGGTTCTAAACCATTGCGTTGGCAGAAGTCCTCCATAATCTATACGATCGAAAAAAGTGAATAGGTTCACTAAAGAGGGAAGTAGTATAAACCTTCAATTAAAAAAGTGCAAACAATTTAAATATCCAAAGCAGTTAAATCGATGATAATTTAAACAAACCTCCTGGTATATTATGGGGTTGGATTGGTGTTGTTGAAGTTTCTATTAGAAATAAATAAGTATAAGAGGATTAATTAGAGCAGACAAACATCTGATTCAATAATCAGAATGATTAAAGATTAATATTCTTTGTGGGATCAGAATAAAAAATCAATTTCTTAATCCATCACTTATCAATCGACTCCATATTCCGATGTTTCAGCTCCGAGGTGAACTAGTGCTCGATTAATGCGTGATATAATAAACGTAAAATTGTACTATCCGGTCATTGCCAATCATTTAATCAATAATTTTTGACATAGGAGATCAAATAGGAGTTGAAATCATTTACCATAATGACGAAAGCGTAATGGTATTCAAATAGATAATTAGTAGCTGAAATCTCATCCACGCCTTGTGGTAAATCAAACGCCTCTTTCCATCAATTAATTTTTCAACATATATGAATTTTGTTTCTAATTAAATAAACTTACGGCAAGATAGCTCCAGAAATTGTAACTTGTCAACACGATAAAAAATACATTTAGTTAAGTCACCGCTATATGGACTACATTAAAGGGTTAATAGCTGGGGAATTCGTAAATTCGTGATTCGTACTCAGAGAGTAAGGATTTACCTCCACTGGGTGCTTTCTTTCCCTTTGAGCAGCTGCACTTCTTCCTCCAGCCGCATTTCGCCGACCTATTCTTGAAGAAGTTCCTTTAGTGCATCTATAAGGAATAGAATTATTCTGACTTCGAAGAAACGTGCAAAATGATAGTTATTCAACAAACTGTTTACCCTGTTGATCCAGATAGCATAAGAGGGTTGAGTCCAGTTAAGAAAGCTGCGGTTGGGTCCAAGAAATAGTTCGCAGCATTTGGAAAATCACCATTAAGATTCCAGTCCATCAGCTGTCTTCCAGATCGAGCAGACTGAGATCGAACTTGCTCACCCTTATCAGCAGGCTTAGCCCATGTTACTTCAACCGTAGAACCATCAATAACAGCTCCTAATTAAGCAAAAAACAATGAAAAGTTTGTGGATATTCGTTTTAACAGACTTTGAAATCAGATTGGCTGGGAAATCTTGTATACCCCCTATGTGCCTATCACATCATTGGCTCGCCAAAATGCTTGGGACATTTACCCAATCGCATCTTATTTACCATAAAAAATAGGCGAAAGCACTATTCAAAGTGCAAATCTTGCCGCTAAACAGCTGATTCATGAGTATATTGAATATCGATTTTCCATTATATACAAACAAACAGCTGATTGATCATATTGTGTTGTGTTTACTTTCGAGCATTTTTAATAAATCAAAAGTGAACAAAAATTAAAAATTAATACATCTTTAACAGGTATAATTTAAGTTATGATTTTGAATGTAAATTTCAATTTTAGTTTTTAGTATTCATGGGAATTTTAATAGGCATAAGTGATCAATTGTTGCAAATTTTGATATTTTAAATAGCAGACGTACCATTGAGTTTCTCAAGGCATCTTTGAGCAACTTCTCTATCTTTGAAATGGATAAAGGCGTAGTCAGTGATTTTCTTCACTCGTTCAATAGCTTGGTCTCCCACTTCTCCGGCTCCCAAAAATTTAGCTCTCAGCTGTTCCTCAGTTGTGCTTAGCATCAAATTACGTACGTATAGAATTTTCACCTAAATCACAAGTGGGGTTTATTAGGAAACAGTCAAATGAGTAATTATACCTTTGACATAATTTCCTCATTGACTTCACGTTCTGGTTCAGCCCAATCGACAGCAATTTGCTGGCCCCAGGGTTGAATTCTTCCTGGAATAAGTTTTCTTCTAGCCATTGCTGCTGCTTTGTGACTTTCATATTCCACAAAGGCAAATCCTCTATTCTTTGTTTTGTCAGCAACACTCGGGTAACAGATTACATCTTTGACTCCGTCTGTAACCTTTTGCATTTCGATAAAAATTTCCTCCTTTGTCTTGTTTTTTGGAATTCCTCCGACGAAGAGACGGCAGTTGTCAACGCTCAAGCAAACTCCAATAGTTTTACCTTTTCTGATTTCATAGTTATTCAGTTCGTCTACTGCTCGTTTTGCATCATCCCGATTTGTGTAGACGCAGAAACCATAACCACGATTATGTCCATTGAATTCCATCATAAGTCGAAACAGGTAGATTGGGCCAATTTTCTCAAAGATAGGAACTAATTCATCCTCAAAGCAGTCTCGCGGGATCTTACCGACAAAGACTTCACATCCCCTTGGTGGAATTTCTTCCGTCCAGTTAGGTGGGGGTCCGTATCGACGCTGACCATTCTCCTTGGAGATCGAGTAGTTAGTACGACTGAGTAATTTTGCAATGCCCTCTTCAGCCGATAAGGCAGCAGCATTCTGATTCTCCTGTCGAGCGACTATATTTGGAGAGACTGAAGAACTGTCTGGGTTCATGCTACTCCAATTTGTACAAGAGCTGGTGCTAGTTGTATCACTTACTGGGCTCAATTGCAGCGAATGAAGGCCACACTCGAGTTGATTTACATCACAGTACGACAACATGACCAAACAATGACCGAAGCGTGTCGTTGGTTGGCTCTCTGGGCTGTATTGCGATAATACACTGTGCACTGAATGACTCTGATTCGCTAGCACCAATTTATTCGAATAAACAAGCGCTTGCAACGCACTCTTTAAATCCACATGCAATGCAACTAGTAGCCTCTGTATAGACTAGTTTATGTTGGAGACAAGATGGTCGGTATTTCGAAAATTCGTCGTATTTGAGGTTAAAGAATTACAAAAGCAGGAAACTTGCAAAACGCTAATAAAATTCGTATTTATTAGGTTGAATTGATTTAACTATCGATTCCAAACGGCCGGATTGTTTGAATTTTTTAGAGTCAGCTGTTTAACTAATTTGTGATTAGACAGAGAAAATTTAGAATTTTAGCAAGCATTTTCGAAGAAAGTAATAATTGATTGCTAAATTGTAGCAATTTATTTAGAATTTAATTGTTTTTTGGAAACGCATGACTTAAAGCTTCCTTCTCAATCAAATACTTTAAAATTTAAAATTAAACGCGAAATTCATCTAATGTTCCCTTAAATAAGACTCAGAACTGATGAGCAATTAGCAATGATATGCATAGATTTGTACATTGTTCACTGAGTTCATCTATACAATCAATTAAAAATGAAAAATGGTGTATGCCTTTATACTATGAGCTTATGGCCTTCTTAAAAGGTAATTTTCTCGGTTTTCTACTATTGCGCAATACTATTTAGACTGACTGTTGACTGCTTTCTAATACACTAACACTTACCTTTTCTGGTCATAGTGGCACATCTTCAGATAGAACTTTGAGTTGTGAACTGAGATTGATTTAAAGTGAATCATTAGTTATTTCCTGAGACTTTAATTTTCATAGATAAAGCATTTGAACTCTGGTTAGTATGCTTTAGTACTTAATCGTAGGTCTTTTATACTTTAGTGACTTCTAATTTATTTGGGTCATTTTTCAGTTTTATTTGATCATTGTGTGACAGTTACCATGGTTATTCACCTGAAAATCCGCCTTAAAGCAGTACAAATATGGTCGTTCGTATTTGAACTTCGGAACGTTATAATATAGCGCGTTTAACTATGTTCAAGAATGTTAAAGAATGGCAAACTGAATTTATGGAACAAGACTTGAAGGACTGTAGTCATTTAAACTTAAGTCTCGAATAGGTTCACACTAGTTTAATAAGAAATGCTTTTATTAATTTTTTCCGTGAACAATGATGATTGTACCCACTCAAAAATTCCAATTCTAATAAGGGTGAAGAATTGAAATTTTATTTGCCGAATAGGATACATGATGAAGGTTTTGTGCTATTTCATTAACGGAATGTTGAATTGATCAATAATTTATTGGCTTCGTATAGTGATTTTTGAACTTTTCAATTGATGGTTAAATATTATTTTTCTCAATTGTGATCTTGTTATTCCCATGTAACTGCTCTACTGGTCAAGAAGCCCTGAAAATCACAAACATGAGCTCATCCAAATTCTCAGGGAACTATTCAAATTTGGCTCTAGAACTCTTGAAATTTATGGGCAAATTCATCCATTTTGACATGCCATGATTAAAGCTTGTTAGGTATCTTTATATTAGTTAAGTGCAGATATAGTCTATTCAGTAGTCAATGTTTGTGGGATAAATTTTAGTGAAGCTTCAATAACTTATTTGCATATTGAAAAGAAAGTAAACAATTATGAAAAATTCATCGCTCTTGGAATATTCAACAAAATACGTTTTGTCAAATGATGATTATTTTCTATTCTGTCACATTCATATTTGAAATTTTCCTGAAATGTAATAAAATCAATATTTGTCCATAGTAAATGAGAAATACGCCAACTTATTGTCATGGTGAAGAAACTTAAACCCACATTTTGAATCACTGTTTGCATTAAAATCGTAAACTATGGAAATTAAAACCATGTGTAGGTAGTGAGCATACTCTGAATCTATTTATTTATTTCAAATGGTAGGCGTTTTGATAGATATCATTAGCCCTTTAGTTGACTTCTGGCTTCACAGAGGTAGGAACATCAAAGTCACAAAAAGTGGGGAGGGGGGAAACGGAAGAGTGATTCATAGATGTGAAAGAGACAGACAGATACAAAGGTAGGGAAAATGGTAAGGTGAGAACTGTGGAAGTAGTGGAATATGACATACAATGGAGTCATGGAAGGTTGAAGTTAGCAGTCAATTCTCTTTTTTAGACTTTTTAACGTATGAACGTACCACCATGTGGAGGTATGTCAATTGCACACCCCTTGTGGTGAATATCACCCTTATAGGTGACAGAATACTTTATTCGGAAGCTCCAGAAACCAACAGTAAGTGGACAACATTGACTGACACCTTCTAACTAGCAACTTCGTGCTTCCCATCATTGTTTTTGACAGAAACAATATCGGAAGTCGTTTTAAATTATTGCAAGCATCAAGATTTACGGAATGGTGGTGACCTAGGTGGCTATATGACTAAGATTTATACCGCCTGACAAAGTATTTTCTGTGTTCTACATCAATTAAAAAGTATCAATATTCAATTTACCTGGTACTGATCTCTTGGCGGTATTACCACTGTTTAATGGTAGAAGCCAGGTGAGAGATCAAAGGACAAGTAGGTATTATTGAATTTTGTGGATAAATTCAATTATGATGAAGCTTCGCCGACCATTTCAGGTGACCGTTGACACGCACTTAGGTGCTCCATCGTAATGATTAAAGAGAGCCAAAATCAAAGGGCCAATTTGACCTCGCATCCTAAACACCGCCGGCATATTGCGCGTGTGGTCCCCGGAGTGGCACTGTCCGACATCAGTTCCACAACATCTGTTCGTCGTACAGCTACCTCTCGATCTCGTTGTCTGGCTGTCATCCCTCTCCTCTGTCTGCAGTCCGATCGACTTAGCGCCTCCCTCGAAATGCCTGTCTTCTCTTTTTGTTTGATCTTTCTGTAGACGACAGGACTTAAAGCTGTTCAGACGTGAAGAGTTTTGATTTTATAATTAATCAAAGGTGTGTCTAGAACGTGATAATGTTGGAATGCTCATGAGCTGATTTATGCCGCGTGAATTATAAAAAAATGTGCCAAGCGCTTTACATTCAATTTTTTTTCTAATTTATTGTGCGCAAATCCTCAACAGTAGAAAGGCGGAATATTTAATAATTTACTCAAGAACCATTAAGGCTCATATATTCAAGGTTCTTATCGGGACATCGAAATGGACAAAATGGTACAACGCTTCCACCATAATTACTTTTCAACCATTTTGACTTCCTCCTTTAGATTTTTTATCCACTGTGCAATTCTGAGTGACAGATTAGTGGAAACTTTTTCTCTTCAATTCGCAGAAAGATCAATAAAAAGCATGCATTCAACAGCGTAAAATAGTAGAAGAATGGTTACATTTCCATCATCATAATGTGTCCAATTATTTAATGATCATATTGAAAGTCGATCCATGGCTTGCGAATTCTAGCAGATTAAGCTGGCGAGCTCTGTGCAATCATGTATTGGCATTATCATTTCCATATTAGTCTAGATCGTTGACTTATGATGTTAGGCTCAGAAGCTCAGATTCATGCAACACTTTTCCTACCATTCCGTTGAATTCCATTGAGTGTGGAGCAAATGCGTCAAGGTGAAAAATGGAATGAGTGGTTGTAGGATCAATTTCTTCATTGCATGCTTTTATTCAATGGGAAAATTTTGGTCTAAGGGCGTCCGACTGGCCAGTGTCTGGCTACTTGTTTCGTTAAGCTATCTCGATATGGCTCAGTGCGTGATTTCAATAGATTTATTTATTTATATCAAATGGCAGGCGTTTTGATGGCTATCATTAGCCCTTTAGTTGACTTCGGGCTTCACAGAGGGGAAGAAAAATCAAAGTGGAAAAAAGTCAAGAGAGAGGGATGGGAATAGAAGAGGGATTCAAAGATGTAAAAGAGACAGACAGACACAATGCTAGAGAGTAGGGTAAGATGAGTACTGTAAAAGGGGTCGAATATGACATACAGTGGGGTCATGGTAGTTTGAAATCAGAGGTCAACTGCCAGTTAATAGACTTTTTTGCCGTATGAGTATACGTTGCCCAGGATGCACCACGTGGCGGTAAGTCTATCGCACACCCCTGTTTTCAATAGATTGATTGGTTTCTTTCATCTATAGATTACGATTGGTTAATTAAGAAAAATGGTATATAATATTTTGTTCACTGGTGAGGAGGAAGATAACCTTGACCCAAAAAAATACCTTCGGTATCTGCGGCTGTGTGTGCTTAAGAGATTGAAATATCTGTGAGTTAAGTGCGGTTAAATTGATCATTAACGAATGTCTTCCATCAATTTTATAGAATTCCGTTGAAAAAAGTAGACATTTGAATTTAGCACAAGCTCAATCAA